TAACAATTCTAATTCCAGACTTCTTACCTTCAAGCTCATCCCTGCTTGCAGCATCGGAAGATTTTATCGACTTTTAGAGTACAGCTCAGGATCGAAGAGTCCCGGCATAGCTGCGCTTGGAATGTGAGAATATCCTAACAACTCTAGTAATATCGGGCCCTTTTATCTCGAGCAATCCTAATACATTTTAAAAAAAAATTCGTCCTGTCGAAAATTTTATTTTTTTCAAAAAAATTGTTTACCATGTTTTTTAGTTATAGCGTAATTCAGGTGCATAAAAGAGCAACAACTACGAAAGACGAAGGAAATGATCGAATTATGAACAACAAACTGTTCTCTGCAGCAATGCACAAACTTTTAATATCATTTGACGCTAAACAGGAGGATTTTGATATGGGTGTTAGCTTCATAACATCAGGTTTATTGGTATCATGCTGTTCAGAGTTAGGTAAGCTTCAGATTTTATGAAATAATTCAGAAATTTGGTTTTTTTTTTGTGATAGTTTTCCAATTAAAAGTTTGGCTAAAACAGCGCGATTGCTCTCACTGAGAAATGAAAAGATCCCTCCATATTCACGCAGTAGGGTATGCGGTGGAATATACTAAAAGTAAGTACCCGTTGGTGGGATTGTCGGTGGTTTCTCCCGAGATCTGTGTACAAGGAAGCTGATAGATTACTCCCTGGTGGTATTCGTCATTGCTAGCTTACCCCATCGAAGTAAATAAAAGAATCGTAAAGCTGTAGTGGTGGAAGTGAATGCCCAAAATTTGATCAAAGCTCTATGGCTTACACAGTGGCTATAGACTGATTAAATGTTGTTCTTTTCAGCTGCGGTGCCTTCATGTGCTTTACTAATTCCCTCATTTTTCGCTAGAAGACAAGTCTTAAGTTGTCAATGCTTCATGCTGCATAGTCGTTGCTTTTAGTGGAATCTGACCCATGTTGTTGGAACCGCTGGATTCGTTCAGTAAAAAATATTGAGAATGTGTTCAATACGGATGGCTTCCAAATGATTGTTGGGCGTGTTTTTGCAACAGAGGACCCAGTGATTCGGTGCAGGGCGATCAAAATGTTAATGTCAAGCGGAGGAGTGACACAGCATATCCGGAACTCTATTTGGGACTATTGCGCTGATTTGCTGAAAGAAATTGATATTAACAGGTATTATTTTGAAGGAATTGAGGAATTAAGAAAAAAATCAGTGAAGAAAAGAAATGGGAAACAACTTGTAATTAGGATTTTACTTGATTACAAGTTAGGTAAAATTATTTAATTATAAGTTGTTTTTATTTTAATTATTAAAGTAAAAATAAATTCATGATGGAATTGAAGCAGAACGTTCGACTTGCTAAGTCTAAAAGCGGAGGGTTTTGGTCCATTAGCTCGTAAATTCTCTTCATTTATCATCCCATTCCGGCCTCATTTTTTACTTTTATATGTGACGGTAGTACTTGTAGGTGATCTGATTGGTAGTTTTTTGCCTACAACTCCTTTAAGGAGATTATTGAAATTATTCGTGTTTTGGCGATTTTTATGTTTCAAAAACCGTTTAGATACGTTTCAATCACTGAACGCGAAGTAGCAATTTATCAAACAGAAGAAGGGGTATTATACAACACAGCTGTGCTGGAACAGAGTTATGCGGAAGAATTCGATGCAAAAAATGTCAAACGAGAAAATAAGGTGGCGACTTATTTTAATGCTTTGTTGAGCTATTATTTCGGTGCCGCGCAGCTTTTAGTAATTCAGCAGCTGGCAACTCTTTTCCTGGCTGCTGTATTCATGTACTCGTCCTGAAGCGTTCAACTGGATCTCTTCACTGTGTTGGCAACCTTCCCTGTGTTCTTTTAACATTGTGTTGATACTGTGCAGTAGTCTGCTTTGCCCATCTGTTGTCTCTCATTCTTGCCACATGACTTGCTTAACTCCTCTTCCTGTTTTACACTGCTTTGATAAAATCGTCACGCCAGACCGGAATCGCACTTCACTGGAGAATTGGTGCTGTTATCGTACTTCGTCTTATGGCTTTTTGGGTTATCGCTATTTTTTTATGCGTTTTGTGCTGTGTAACAGCGAAACAAAACGCATATTTTCACGGGGTTGCCTGTGTG